GTTGTCACATGTCCTGCACCTTGACTTGCTGGTTCTGGGTTGGGGTACGCTCTGTCAGTGTCTCCTGGAGCCACAACACAGGCTTCTGAGAGCAGAGCTGCAGGGCTACCCCAACTGCGACTTGGTTTTCATTTCAACACATGGGATTTGCTAAAACAGTCAGAAAGCTGAAACAGGCTTTTCCTTCTGGATGTTACTAATTACCAGCACATGCATCAAGGCAGGAATGCTTTCCCCAAGCCACAGGATCAGCTGGATCTGTCTAAGCCACAGGGCTCTGCCACCTCCAGGACCAAGCTGCTGACTCAGTTACCCAATGTTCAAAACATCCTCTGAGGAAAATCATTGTGGCCTGTCCAGGATGCTTTTCAGAGTCTTTAATAATTTCCCTTAAATCAAAGCAGCACAAATGGCTCACACTGCAAGGAACAAAGTGGCAGGAGGGAGGGCCCTGGATGACAGCCCCCAAGGAGGCCTCTGCATACTGCAAGGTCCACTACCAGAAGCCTCCTCAGTACACAAAACATACAGCACGTTCTGACTTGCTGGCCAGCTTGAGCAAAGGCCTTTAGCCCTGACCTAGGCACTCATTGGCCACAGGCAGATCTTTGAGCCCTGGGCTCAAAAGTGCTTCCTCCTCTACCGAAGGCACCTTGGAGTTTGTGGGGCCCAAGAGGATAACACATGAGTAAAACAAACACCAACTACCCTGTTCATTTGTCCACCCAGAAAAGATAGCCCAAGAGTAGGGAAACAGAGAGGTAGTAGCTTGCAATGGAAACAACACAGGGCTGGGGAGGGAGGCCAGATGAGCTTCCCCAAGCTCCTGCAGCCTGTGCTGGGAACAGGAGCAAGTAGTTTGTGACCATGTGTCACTGGTCTCCTTATGCTGAGACCTCAGGAGAGTCCATCCCAGAACAGTAAGGGCTCCACTACAGCTCCTTCGTGAGTCCCCTTAGGGCAGAATTCTTCTACCCCACAGATGCCTAGACAAGTGCCTTGCACAGATACAACCTCAATTTATTACCTATCTGGTATATTTATTACCTATCTGGTATATGCACCTTCTGCAATCTGGGCCCACCTTGATGTACAAAGCGTTTAGGGAGGATACAGGTGCACACGGGGTTAGCAAAGCAGTAAGAGCATGCAAACATTTCATGGGTGAGTAGCAGGCTCTGGAGAGGGTGAGAGTAGCAACAGCAAAGAGGAAACCAGCCCACAGCACTCTGTGAGACCTGTGCATAGTCCAGCCTGGGAAGAATAGGCAGCTCGGGCTAGCTATGAGAACACATGACCCAGACATGTTGGGGGGCATTCTATCAGCCTTGGCCAGTCTTTCACAGGCTGTCTAGGGCAAGACAAGGGGAGTTCAAGGAATCACCTGACCACAGGGAACCCTGCAGACCCTGGAGACAGAAGAAAGGTCAGGAATGGAGCAAGGATATCAAAGAGACATAGACTCCAGTAGACACAATGCATGGCAGACTCCTGACCAAATTAATGTGTCTGACTAACACCCAATGTTGACAATATGGCAAACTGGGTGGGGACAGAGGGACAGAAGGGCACAGGATGAGCACTCCCAATCCAAAAACCAAACATCAAAATGTTTTGAAACCTGGGACTTTCTGAGTTATGATGCCACAATTAGGTTATTTCATACAGCAAATTGGTGTTTCATGCAGAAAATAATTTAAAATCTTGAATAAAACTATCTTCAGACTTTGTGTGTAAGGTATATATGAAGCATAAATGAATATAGTGTCTGGACTTGAATGAGGGACCCAACAATTCATTTTGTACAAATATTCTAGAAGCCAGGGAAACCTGAAATCTAAAATACTTCTAGTCCTCAGCATTTTGGAGAAGGGTTACTCAACCTGCACTATATTCATAACCCTTTTTGCAAATCTAAAATTATTCACAATTAAACAGGTTATATTAAAGATGCTCTTCAGAAACAAAAACAAAAACAAAAACAAAAAACCCAAAGCTATATGCAGCTGCTCTTCCCAGAGGTCAAGCTGTCTCAATTTTTCTGATATCCAGATAGCTAGCCCAGTCTGTGGTGACACTGCGTGTGGGCACTAGGCATTACTAGAAGTCTGAGCTTCAACTTCTACGTGGGCCCAGCGATACTGCAAGACTGCCCTCCTGTGGTCATGCACAAGCTCCACAGGGCTTCAGGCATGGTCTCCACCTCCAGGACTTGCTGACCCCACACAAACGGCAACAAGAAGGCAATAAGGCCAGCAAGTTCTCATCATCACACTGACCTCTTGAACATTCCTGGGCCGTACTCCTACCAAGCCATCAGCCCCAAAGCACACTCTTCCTATCACCTCATCATAAAATAAGGACTGTACTCCTTGCTCAGAAAAAAAACTCACACATCCAGGCAGTCCCACAGGGAGATGAAAGTTAATACCAGGATGATACCCTGGTGTCAATAAGCACCGCACCAACCTTAACACATCAAATATATCCCAGTGACATGCCCTGATGCACAGTCCAGGTGTTCTGAACAGTGCTGTAAAACTGGCCACAGTGATGTCGACAAAGACAAGGCTACTGTGATCAGGAATCAGAAGTCAGGGGATGGCCTTCTACTAGCTGGATGGGACACATGAACGGCCACACAGATTTCCCCAGGAAGCCATATGGATTGAGGCATAAGAAATTGGGGGCTGCCAGCTAAACCCATGGCACATGCAAGAAGCTGAAATAATCCCTTCCAATATACTATCTCCTGCTCTGCTGAGGACTGAGACCACAAACATGCAGTCACTTCTCTGCCACCACTCATGCCTGCACCACCTCTGGTTCCACTCTACTAGGGCAGACCTCCTCTTCCTGGTCACTGCAGTCTCATCTCACAGTAGACATTGGGGTCACTCTATAAAACCAGATATGGCCACCTTTGACTCCTATCACTTTGCACACTAAACATGTCTCATTCTTCACCTTTGTGTCCAGGTCTCTGCAGAACCTCCTCCCTTTTGCACGCTTTTACTCAGGAGGTTCTGTTGAGACACAACCACAAGGGCTTAGACCTGCTATCATTGTGCAGTCCACAACTCTGGTAGCAATAGGTCAGCGCCAAGGAACTGCATAATGGATGGCAGTCCCACAAGCACTCTATCTCCTCAAGGAAGAATCAGCAGAGTAGGGGATGTCCAGGTCTCAGAGTCAGAGTCCTCCAGGTTAGGATCAACCACTGCCTGACATAGCCTACCCTTCTCAGCTCTCCTGTGTCTAACTTCTGAGCCACGTCTTGACTTATTGGGCAAAGGAGAACATGGAAAACACATTTTTATATCAGTATTTCAACACTCCTCCTTCGCAGGGAGTCTTCAGTAATATTCATTGTGCCTCTGTCTCTTCTTTTGCTCTTGGTCATTGTACTTCAGGTTATCAGATTCTTCTCCTTGGGGCAGGTTTCTTTTTTTTTTAAAGATTTATTTTTATTATTTTTTTATTGGAAAGGCAGATATACAGAGAGGAGAGACAGAGAGGAAGATCTTCCGTCCAATGATTCACTCCCCAAGTGAGTGCAATGGCTGGTGCTATGCCGATCCAAAGCTGGGAACCAGGAACCTCTTCCGGGTCTCCCACGCAGGTGCAGGGTCCCAAAGCTTTGGACCATCCTCGACTGCTCTTCTGGGCCACAGGCAGGGAGCAGGATGGGAAGCGGGGCTGTGGGGATTAGAACCGGTGCCCATATGGGATCCTGGGCGTGCAAGGCGAGGACCTTAATCACTGCGCCGTTGCACCAGGCCGGGGCAGGTTTCTATGCTCTGTTACCCACAGGTCTACAGTTTGATTTCCCTTATTGCTGTTGGTACACAGCTCTTTGTTTACAGTCACTTGTGGCACTCCCTCCATTGAGTTCCAGGTCTGGGTTCTTATGTTGGACTTCCACCATGGTCTCTGTAGCCCCAGCTCCTGGCTCAGCACTCTCCATTCCTATGATCTGGAGCTATTGCTGTATCGTTGTGAATACAAGGTGCACCATTGTTAATACAATGTTTCTCTTCTGGTTTGTGCAGTTCCCAAGTTGATCAGCATCTATAGCTCACTGTTGTCCCTGTAGGGTCAAAGCCTTTGCCACACTTTGTACAAAAATGGTGCCTGTTGTGAAACTTGTGGAGTTCTTGATCTGCTGGCCTTTAGGTTGGGAACTACCTGGACCTATTTGAGGTGGAACCTGAAGGATGCCATGAGTTGCGATTCACTGAACCCGAAATCAGCTCCCAGCTTAGTGCCTGCACAGTCCTGTCCCATAGCCATTGCCCCCCTATAGAAGATGGCACCTGATTTGGCTTTAGTGGAGGTTTGGGCTGTGAAATCCAACCTGTTTCTGTTCTACCTGCTTGGGATCTGCTGCTCGGTCTCTGCTCCTGGTCAAATCAAAAAGACCAGCAGGACCAGCAGTTCTTCGTCTGGGTTTACTCCTGAGTTCCCAGTGAATTCATCTTCCCACCTGATTGCTGCTGGATTTCCAGCTGCTGGTGGAGTTCAGATCACCACTTGCTGAATGCCACTAGGGTATCAGATACTGTAACACCACACCATTGTATCCGCTGCTTTCCTATGTCTGTCAGTCTCCAGGTGCCCCTCTGCTGTTGTTCTGTCCTCTTCTGTTTCCTGTAATGTGCCCTCTCTACATCAGCCTGTGATGCATCACCCTGATATTCTCTACTTAAACATGTCCTCACCCTATTCCACCACTGTGATTCTCTCCTCCTATGAACATTTTATTTATTTTTATTGGAAAGATTTACAGATTTACAGAGACAAAGAGAGGCAGACAGGAAAGATCTTCCATCTGCCTGTTTACTCCCTAAGTGGCCACAATGGCCAGAACTGAGCCCATCTGAAGCCAGGAGCCGGAGCTTCTTCAGAGTCTCCCACATGGTTGCAGGGTCCCATGGCTTTGGGCTGTCCTTGACTGCTTTCCCAGGCCACAAGTAGGGAGCTGGATGAGAAATGGAGCATCTGGGACACGAATCAGTGCCCACACTGGATCCTGGTGGATACAAGGTGAGGACTTTAGGCACTAGGCTATTGTGCCATGTCCTCCTACGAAATTTTTAAAGACTCCGTATATGCACACATTTCAAAGTATTTTTACACCAAAATAAACTTATGTTCTAGTCCAACTTTCCACAAAGTTTTTGAACTACTTTTGTGTAGTCAGCCCTCTATTTCTGAAGGTTCCTTTTCAGAAAAAGCAATTTCTTCTGTACTGACTATCTAAGACTTTTTCCCCTTGTCATTTAGTCCTTAACCAATACAGGGTAACTACTGTCACAGCATGTAGGCTGTACTGGGTGTTCTAAGCACTGCAGAGCTGAGCTCATGTCTGTGGGTGGATATGCACAGGCTATGAACAAACACCTGGTATTTCTATTACAGACTTGAACACCTGAGGGTCTTGCTAAACACAGGCATCCTGGAACTATTCTGCAGACATTCAGGGATGTTAGCATGCATCATATGTATATATGTATCAGCTACAGCATCTATACTATGAAGCAATGTATTCTTTGAACTTGGACTTTCTTAATCAAGGTTGACAAACAAATTTAAGGGAATAAATGGTAGATTTTACCACAGCAAAATGAAAGTTCTGCAATGGAGAGTACAGGCACTCCACAGAACCAAGTCTGAGTGGCCAAAAATGAGTTAAAAATAGCTCCTCCATATCCTAACTGTTCAAAGGAATTGAAGTTAAAATATCAGACAGGTACCTCTCGATATTCATTAGAACAGCAAACATACAAAGTAACATGATGTCAATTCTTCTGTAGGCTATGGGGCAGAGCAGACTGGTACAGTTTCTGACAGCAGGGTCTAACCCTGCACTGCACATGGGGAGATGAACCACCACATCCTTCCATCCCACCAATACTCACATATTGCACTCACAGTCTGCTGAGACACAGGCTCCCTAAGTACATATCTGGACAGTGGGTGGAAGGACATGGTATGAGGTTGAGTGCAGTGGAGGGAAGGGAGATTTTCCAGAGTATGTATTAATAGTCCTGGCTGAGGAGAGAGATTCGAAAATGTTGAGAGATTATTTTTGTCCAGCATTGCCAAAAACCTCTACTATGCTGTGTATGAGCTTTAACTGGGTCCCCCAAAGGTTCGCGTGCTAGAGGCTTGGTGTTTGGTGTTTCTGAAGGGCCTTCATGAGGTGTGGCCTAGTGAGTTGTGGTTGGGTCATTAGCAACACCACCCTTAGAAGGAATTAATGCCAGTCTCTTGAAGTAAAGCTGTTCTTGTAGAGTGAGTAGTTAGCAGTAGCCAGCCTGGTCCAGAACTCATCTGGCTTGCTGTGTCTCTTCCACACATTCCCACCAATGTTGCATTATCTGCCACGAAGTCTTCACTACAGACCAGCTGACATGGGACTCTGAGCCTCCAAAATAACGAGGTAAGAAAAGCTTGTTTCCTTAGCCAGCTTAAAAAACCTTACAGCAACCAAAAACACTAACGTGCTTTTTCTAACCTCTCAAAATCCACAGGGCTGGCAGGCAAATGGTATATCTAAGTAATGTGAGATTCACTTACAGGTGTCAAGTACTTTTCTGTGTATAAAAAGCAAGTGAGCTGTTTCTGGTGAACTGAGAGACACACATGCTGAGTGTGTCAGCCATCTCAGAGGTCAGTGCACACACTGGCCTTGCTGGTCACCCACCTGTGTGCCACACAGAGCAGCTCTTCTCTGCAGAGGAAGACACTCCTGTGGTTCTGAACATGAAGGCATCTTCTAATAGCTCAATCCTCTTGCTGAACTGAACTTCTAGAATGGGAACAACTTTTGGCATCTTGGCAGATAGCACACGATAAACCACATCTGGCTTTCCAATGAAGCGTTGACGTATGCTAATCTCATAAGGTGAATGAACCTTAATGTCATCAATGTCTTCTCTTTCAAATCGGTGCAGTAGCAAAGAATTGGAGTCATGGATTTCCAATCCAGAAATAAGGATGGTGAGCCTTCCTGGTTTAGTGTGGGACTCTGTTCTTCCAGAAATAATACCAGGAATTACAATCAGAATCCTTTCTTTTCCAAAAGGTTCACAGGTAGCTGCTGAGGAGCCCTCCCTAGGTTTTGGTTCTGATGGCATCTTCCAAAACTTGGGGCTAAAGGGCCACCAGGAAGGAGATTCCAATTCTGTCAGTAATCTATAGAAGCAAACAAAACAGAAAATATGGTCGATCAGTATCTAAAGAGTAATACTTTTGGGCAGGAAGATTGTCATCACCGCAACTGTCCTTCCCATAAGCACACGCAAAGCAAGAAGAGCAGAGACTATTATGTGCATGCTTTAGAACTGAGGGGCTGGGCCAGGCGGCGTGGCCTAGCAGCTGAAGTCCTCTCCTTGAATGCGCAGGGACCCCATATGGGCGCCGGTTCTAATCCCAGCAGTTCCACTTCCCATCCAGCTCTCTGCTTGTGACCTGGAAAAGCAGACGAGGACAGCCCAAAGCCTAGGGACTGTGTACCCGTGTGGGAGACCCAGAAGTTCCTGGATCTTGGCTTCAGATCAGCATAGCACCGGCTGTTGTGCTCACTTGGGGAGTGAATCATTGGATGGAAGATCTTCCTCTCTGTATATCTGATTTTCCAATAAAAAAAAAAAAAAAAAAAAAGAACTGAGGAGCTGCTGCTGTGGCACAGCAGGTAAAACCACTGCCTGCGATTTGGCATTCCATACAGGTGTTGGTTCGAGCGCTGGCTACTCAATTTCCAATCAAGCTGCTTGCTACTGTGCCTGGGAAAGCAGTGGAAAATGGTCTAAGTGCTTGGGCCACTACACCCATGTGAGAGACCTTGGAAGAAGCTCCTGGCTCTAGATTGGTCCAGCTCTGGCCACTGCAGTCAGTCATGTGGGGAATGAACAAGCAGATGGAAGATTTCTCTCTTTCTCTCTCTGTTTGACTCTTCCCCCAACCTCTCTCTAATTTTGTCTTTCAAAAAAAGAAGAGGAAGAACTGTGAGGACTAGAGATATGTGGCTGTTAGCAGTGAGGTGAGTGGAGAGGTACACCTCTTCCAACCAGAATGCCACTCTTCCCATGCTATGTTACCTTCAGCTACATAATTTTGATTGCAAAACCAATCCTGGGGCCAGTGTGGTGGCTCAGCAGGCTACAGAACTGACATCCCGTATAGGTGTAGTCCTAGTCCTCACTGCCCCACTTTCAATCCAGTTCTGTGCTTACTGCCTGGGAAAGCAGCAGAAAATAGCTCAAAACCTTGGCCCCTGCATCCACATGGGAGACCTGGAAGAAGTTCCTGGCTTCTGGCTCTGGATTGGCTCAGCTCTGGTCATTGCAATCATTTGCATCCTCTCTGTAAAATCTGCTTTTCAAATTAAAACAACAACAAAAACCCACCCTGATCTCAATCTGCAGAATGTTCTATGTATGCACTGTCCAATGCAGTAGGAGGTACTTGCAGCAGCTACTGAGTAATTACAATGCAGTTAATGCAATTGAGGAGCTAAATAAGTTCATTCACTTTTTTTCTCTTTTTTTAACAATCTTTACATAGTTAGCTAGGGTAAAAGGGTTCAAGGGCTACAGGAAAGTGGGTAAGACTATTATTTCCATATTGTTTCCTTCATGTAATGAGGTAAAGGGGGATATTGAGGGAGAAGCCCCACCCAGTTTCCCCCCAACCCCAGGTCCTGGATGTGGGGCATGCTCTGAGATATTCGCTCAAGAGGTTTCAATAGTTCACCAGTTATGAATCGCTACCAATCTCGCCCCTCCAAACACGATGAGGTCATTGAAGAATCCACTGATTGACATAGTCCATCATAGAGTCTCCATTTGCCCGGTATTTCACTGCCAACATATAGCTGAGGTGGTTGATTGACTTGGTCTGTCTTCTGTCTTTTCTTGGTTAGGGTTCTGAGTCCGGCAGTTCGATTGGGGAGATCCCAAAAGAAACTTTGTCTGAGGTGTTCCCAGACCAGATTCTTGTATGTACTAGCAAGTACAGGGCCCGGCATAGTTCATTGCCCCAATAAGCTGGTAGTTACAATTGTTGGGTTGGTTCTGTTTTCAGCCCCGAATTCCACTGGAACCATGGGTGTTGCAGTCCAGCCTGGTTCTGCCCAGCACATACTCGGCCCTCATATAAACCAGTGGAAGCTGCAGCCCAGTCAGAGCGACCCACAATAACCCCCACCAGGCCCGCGCCCTACCCTGGTTTGCCAGTATGTGTAGCATACTAGTCCTGTCTGTCCACGTCCCATTTGGCTCTTGTACATTTCAATGGGTATTGAAGCTTAGTTCCATCTAACCAGCTCCACTATCCAGCCATCACAGATGTTGAGTGCCTCTCTGTCTAGCCACCCCAGCGCCTGTCCTAGTTTTTGTGCACTCCCGTGGTAGTGGTAACCCAAGAGGGAGGAGCCCACTATTTCCCTCCCAGGCCACTCCCACTCCCGGATTATGCACTCTCCAGGTGGTTCTGTAGTTTGACTTGACAGAATTAGCTCCCAGTGTCAGTTTCTGCCAGCTGGTGCTGCAGCTAAGCCCAAACAACCCTCACCCAGTCTAATTTTATTTGCACCAGTAGGAATAATCCACCCAGCCTGGTTTTCATTCACTTTTAATGTGGTAAGTAGTCAGTTACCATATTACACAACACAACTTGAAAGTAACCACTAATAACATAAAAAAAAAAAAAAAGATGGAAATGGTCAACAGAAAGGAGGCAAGAAAAGGAAAAACAAAGATCAAATAAAACAAATAGAAAACAAGTCATGAGATGGCAGAATTAAACTTAATTATATTAGTATTCATAGTAAGCATAAATGGACTAAAAATTAATTAATGAAGAGAGCCTGGATAAAGAACCAAAATCCAGCTATCCCTTGTTTATAAGTGATATACAGTAAGATCTATCTATCTTACTGTATGCACAAATATATAAATAAATATAGACAGACAAAACACAAGGACACCTGGGGAGAAAGAAACATTGTGGCAAAAGTAAACTTTGACAAAGAATGTTACCAGAAATAGAGACAGGCACTAGACAATAATGGGGATCAGTATGGGTGCAGGAGGGCAGCTAAATGAGATGTTCTCTAGAGACACAACTGTGAAAAGCTATTCATGTACCAGTCTACCTCAGCAAGAGCATGGGAAAGCAGGTAAGAGAAGGAAAGAGAAAGAGAAAGATCTTCCATCCACTGGTTTACTCCTCAAGTGGCTGCAACACCTGGAGCTGAGCCAACCCAAAGTCAGGAGCCAGGAGTTTCCTCTGGGTCTCCCACTTGGGCACAGGGTCCCAAAGCTTTGGGCCACCCTTGACTGCTTTCCTAGGCCAAAAGCAGGGAACTAGAAGGGAAGTGGAGCTGCCAGGATACAAACCAGCGCCCAAATGGGATCCCTGTGCATGCAAGACAAGGACTTTAGCCTCTAAGCTACCTTGCATAGCCCAGCACTGAGCATTCTTAAGAACCACCCTGCATCCACTCACCCAGTGCCCTGTAAGCTATGGACAGCTGTGTGCAGAGCTTCATGCTTCTGAGATACTTTGTGACCTGGCAGATCTTATGTACTTCCTATCATTCAGTAAGTTTTGGGGTCTGCAAACTGGGCCGACTGAGGGAGTGGAGGGAGAAGCCTTAATAACTCTGTCTTGCTAACACTAGTGAGAACTTCCTGCTATGCCCACAGGACTCTGAGAGCCAGGCTATGTCCACGGTTCCTTTGATTACTGCCCACTCCCACCATGCCTTTGGTGATTAAGTGCTACCACATGGCCCCTGCCATCCCTGGGGGTCCAATTATTCCCATTACATTCAAGGATTCCCAGTAACTTTTTTTTTTAAGATTTATTTTTATTTATTTACTTTTTTATTGGAAAGGCAGATATACAGAGAGGAGAGACAGAGAGGAAGATCTTCCGTCCAATGGTTCACTCCCCAAGTGACCGCAACGGCCGATGCTATGCCAATCCGAAGCCAGGAGCCTCTTCCAGGTCTCCCACACGGGTGCAGGGTCCCAAAGCCTTGGGCCGTCCTTGACTGCTTTCCCGGGCCACAGGCAGGGAGCTGGAAGGGAAGCGGGGCTGCCGGGATAGAACCGGCGCCCATATGGGATTCCCAGTAACTTCTTATCTACAGAGAAGAGCAGCCACCTAGCTCTCCAGAGGTGCCAGGGCTCCTGTACAAGTTGCTGCTTATAGTTGTGGCCACGGTGTACCCTTGGATCCTCCAGGATGGGTGAGCAGGTTTTATGGATAAATCCCTTCTACCATTACAATCTTCCTAGTCTTTTGGACATCTCCCCTAAAGTATCTCAAGACCTTGCGTGGCATCTCACCTTGTGGTTGCAGGCCACTTGAGCTCATCTGTCAACTGTGGAGGGACATTGTGAATCTTTGTCAATGTGGGATCAGAGCTATCAGGAGCAGTTAATATGGAAATGAATAGACAGGAAATTCTCTAGCCAGCAGGTTCAGATAATAGATCAGAGAGATGCTTCCTCCCCTAGATAGGGGAACAAGAATCAACAGGCTGAAGAAAGGAACCTGTTAGGTGAACAAATTGTATATTAGGGAACTGCCTCTTACTGTTAAAATGTAAATTCCTCAATCCTCCCTCCTTGTTGCATATTATAAAAGGACGCTGTGAATCTCTTGCCATACAAAACCAAACCTAGTAGCAATTCCTTCAGATATGGAGATGAATAAACAGGAAACCTCCTGGTTCACAGTTTTAGATAAAGGACCTGCTAGAGGAACAAACTATATTGGGAGACTCCTCCCTGGAAGCCTATGTGACAACATTCTTTTAAAAGTCTGATGCTGTTAATAACGGCTATTGACCATCAGTCAGTAGTTCACGGGTGTTATTTCAGGCTCCATGCACCGACTCCATCACTGCCAGACAATGAATAGTCAGCTAATTTGAGAATTACTGCCTATTATTTTTTATCAACAGATTCACCAAATTTAGCCTTCACTATTATTTCATTTCCTTAGCATCGATTCCCATACCTATTCTCCAGGTTGTGTTCTAAATCAGCAAACTCCTGTACTTTCTCACAGGCCACATCCTGTATAGCATCTCCTAGGATGTGTGGGCATTTGAGTTTAGCCACACATCTAGAAGCAAAGATGGATGGCTGCAGTGGGTCCTGAAGAGCAAGCAATGATGAACAGGATCACCGCCTCTTCTCAGGCAGAGTTCATCTTCTCAGCAGCAGGGTTGGGAGAAGGGTTGTATCTACTGACAAAGAAGAATCAGTAGAATGTACTGGTTCAATGTCTTGAGCTTCACTAGGGTCTTCCCATGTGTCCACATTCAATTTTTTCCTCAATCAATACCCTCAATTTAACACCACTGTCACACAAAGATGCAATTTCAATGTTCAAGAAGCCTCAGGATTTGGATTTTAATACAGTCCTTGCAGCTACAGGGCTGAAGATTTCCCTTAAGGACAGAAAGGGAAACTTCTAGGTCCTATATGCAGCACTCCTGTAGCTCTTCTTTTTCATTCTCCTCATATTCTAGAATGATGAGGAGCACCAGGCAATCTGATTTAGTTTTGTGGCTTCTCATTTAAGGGGATGTACAGTAACTGTGTAATGGAGACTATCATCTCTATTAGCATGGGCAATCTCATTATGTGTGAGGAGTTAAGATGGGATGATAGTAACCAGCTAGAATCCTCCTGGTCCCTCAGTTATTTTTTTTCTAAAATGTAAAAATTGTATTTCTACTCCATGTCTTAATTTTACCAGAGCATGTTTCTCCCAAGAGACAGGGGCAGAATTAATATATCAACTCACCACCTAAAGTGGCCTACCTAATTCCATTTCTGGATCATTGTCAAGGAGGTGGTGTCTGAACGGTCAGTTTATCATTAGAAAAGGCCTGAGGAAGTTGACTGATAACATTTTTCTGTGGTTTTGTTTCAGAGCTAGGAACTATAGAAACCTGAATTTTTTTTTTTTGAGACTCCTTTGATAAGAGGTTTTAGAAGATAAAAGCAGCGGAGATTCAAGATGGCAGCATAGGGTAAGGGCACATTGAAACAGAGACACATTAGCCAGTGGAAAGCAAAAAGAGCACATTCCAGGAAATATGAGAGGACAGAATGACAGCAGAGGGGCACCTGGAGACTGACAGACATAGGAAAGCAGCAGACACAATGGTGTGGTGTTGCAGTGACTGATATCCAGTGGCATTCAGTGAGTGGCGATCTAAACTGCACCAGCAGCAAGAACTCCACTGGTAACATGGGAAGATAATACTGACTTTGGCATGATACAGGTCAAATTAGGTTCATGTGGTCCTCAGACCTTATGGCCAACAGGTTCCAGCAAGATCAGCACCACCAACACCCTAGCTATATGGGATAACTGGCGTCTCCCTAATCCTGGGAACTGCTAGAACCGGAAGTGGGAGAAAGGCTGTACAGACAACGATGTAGCCTCAGCATGGTATCACAGGAGGTGGAGGGTGGTGAGCCAGGAACTGGGCTATGCAGACCATGGTGCAAGGGTATATATACTATACCTTGTGTATTTTTATTTATTTATTTATTTTAGTTTCATCTCTTCAAGACAGTGTCTCATTAAATTCTTTACTGACTCATAGACCATACAGTAGCATCATTTTCTTCAGGAAGGTTCTTGATTTCCTTTTTCATTTTTTCAGTGACATATTAGTCATTCAGTTGCATGTTATTTAACTTCATGGTATTTTTAATTTCTTCCTGCATTGTAAATTTCTGTTTTTCTTTCTGTTGTTGATTTTGTATTGTGGCTTGTCATTTAAGGAGATGCATACAGTAGAAACTGACATGTCCAGATGTGAGGATACAATGCAGTATGCATCTCTACTTCCAAATCAAAGATGGACTCTGAATGAAACTGTTAACTATATCTTGACAATAGGATGCTGGACTCTCTTACCATTGTCAATGTCCACAACGATGGACATATGACTGTTTATGAAGAACTACAGTGTTATAATAAAATAGGGGAATTCAGTGGGGATGGGTGTGCTTGGAGAGGGGTAAATGGCCATTGTGGCCATTTGGGGAGTGAATCAGTGAATGAAATCTCTCTCTCTCTCTGAGTATATTTCTTGTTCTCTCTATAAATCTACTGTTCAAACAAAAATCTAAAAAATCTTTTTTTAAAAAAGAAAAAGATTATATAAAGTTTTCTTTCAACCACATAATACAAATGGTTCGCACATTGAAAGATTACTGAAAGTCTATATATTCATATGTTTCCATCCAAGTGTTAAGGAAAATAGTATGAAAGTTCCTCAGAAAATGAAAACTAAATACACCTGTGATCTACCAAATGCACTACTGGATATATACCCAAAAGCAATGAAATCAGATTCTTAAAAGGGTTACTTGCACTTCATTTTCATTGTAACATTATTTACAATAAGCAAGATATGACATCAACCTAAGTTTTCATCAAGTGAAGAATGAATAAAGAAAATGTACACATATTAGGGGAATAATATTCAGTAATAAAAAGAAGAAAACCCTGTCGTTAACTGACATGTATGAATCTGGGGGGGGGGTGCATTATCACAAGGTAAAATAAGTTGGGCCCAGAAAGACAAACATTGTATGTGCTCACTGATATGTAATGAGTGATCTTTTAGAAGACAGTAGGACAGTGGTTACTAGGGCCAAGGGAACAGAAAGTGACCATTCATTTAGATATTATGGTGTGGACAATTCTGATGTTTCCCAAAGAAACACAACTTGGAAAGGAGTACAAGAGCTCAGAAATGTTAAGGGGTACGTTTCAACCATATTTCCTAGCAGGAATCAAAATTAAACAAGGGGGAATACCTAATTTAACATTGCACATGAGAAAGCATGCTTTCTAAATCTCTTCCCAAGTCCCCAATATCCCACCAGATGCAACATGGTCACAACAGAAAAGATCACAAGGCTCAGTGTGGCTACTGGAGTGTTAGCTGTCCTGCAGCAATGTACTTGGTCGTTGGAACCCGAGATTAACACGGGTGGACTCTGACTGATGGTCAATAGCCAAAGTTTATTTTATAGGGTCACATAGGATAAGGGAGGGGACACTGATCTTATCTACGGGACCCATCAATTGTTTCCATACTCTTATTTGAAACTGTTTTGTATATCCCACCAACTGTTCTCATTCAAATGCTACCCACTCAGTTGTTCTCATACAAATGTTATCCTATCAATTGTAACCCTGTGCTCAATGACCTTCTAGAATCACAATGTCCTTCTACACTGGAGCAGATGGAGATGTTCATCCCCAAATTGTATTTTACCTGGGAAATGAAACAAGATGGCTTCTGCTTAGAAGCACTGTTCTGTCAACAAGAATCCTGAACTAAGACAGTCATGTAGCTGCGCCCACCCAGATCCTTGCTTCACAGTGCCTTCCTGTCCCTTTTTCAGTGGAAGCCCTCAGGGATTAGCCCCAGGTCATATTCCTCAGTGATCTGGGGAAAGTGACTGAGGCCCCATCAGGAGGGCCAAAAAGCAGAGCATAGACCTCCCAGAAGTGATGGCTAATGCTACGCCACGGTGATTACACATTTGGTCAAATCATACACTGAGTTTCTGAGTTTCACACACACACACACACCCTCTGCCAGCCAGAGGCAGAAGTTGGAACTATGGTCTCTAGTAGTTTCAGCTGGGAAGAGTGTGATGAGGGGAAGAAGCAAGACCCTTCACACTGGAGAAGCCCTCCAAAAGGCTTAGACCTCAGACGTAAAGGCTGCAGTCCAGAATCTAGCTCCTGACAGCCTCAAACACACAGGCAGTAGGAAAGGAGAGATGATGAGAAAGACATAAAATGAGGCAGGGGAAAAGATTACAGAAAAAAACAAACAAACAAAAAAACCTGGCCTCTTAAAAGTGAAACAAAATCAGTGATAACTTGCTGAGAGTTAGGACTCATCATCCAGAAGAAAGATGCTACTCAAAATAAGCATTGAGGGGAAAGGTAATTCCTAAGACTTAAATATAACAGAAATAGAAAAACAGAGATAAAATTCAGGTTACATGCAGTACCATGAACAGGAAAAAAAGGCAAAATGAGAAAGGAATAATAGTACAACACTAGTGCAGGATGTTAGGTATACAGAAAACGGGAATTCCAAGGAATCAAGCTTTTGAAATGGAGTGAAAGGGGCAAGTGTTTGTTTCAGAAGTTATGAAGCCTTTTAGGACACCTGCATCCCAAACTGAGTCTGGCTACTCTACTCCAAATTCAGCTTCCTGCTAAAGCACACTCTGTCCCTCACACAGGAGACCTGGATGACACCTTGGCTCTGGTCTAGCCAGCCCTGACTGTTGGTGGGCATTTGGAGAGAGAACCAACAGAATTTCTTCTTTTCTCTCTCACATAAAAATGGAAATAAAAATTCACCAAAACTCATCCTCCCAAGCATGACTTGGGAGACACATGTGTCCTAATCATCAAATAGGAGCCACAGTCACAGAGGTCACTACCTGTATGTGTCACTATGTATGCTCTACATGGCATGCATAGCAGGTACACAGCCATGTTCTCAGAATATGGTTTATACACAGAATATGCATCATAACAATAACATCTTCCCTAGCCCAGTGAGCCCAAAGCAGTTTCTAGGATAACCTACCTGTCAGCCACATCCAAGTCTGATTCCATCTTCTCCAGACTCCTCATGGCGTTGCTCAGCTGCTCCCCCTGGTGGTGAAGGACCTTTGCAGTGTCTTCCAGTCGTTTCTGGGACACAGCCATCATTCCGGTGAGCTCCTTTCCCCGGGTCAAGGGGGAAAACATGGCCTCCACAGGAGCTCCTGGCTGGGACAGCAGCAGCTCCCTCCAGAAATGCTCAATGATGGTAAAGACTACATTCCGGTTTGGCTGCAAGGAGCTGAACCAGTGCTTGGCATGGTTTTTTTCCAGGATGGTGATGGAACTGAAGATGAAACGGGAAGCCTCCTTCTTCATCTCAATGATGCTGGCAAGGGGAAAGCCAACCAGAATTTCACCAGTTCTGTCAGCTGTGAACTTCAAGGAGTGTGATGTTAAGGACAGCTTTCCAGGGACCCAGCGTTTTTCAGGGTCCAGGTAGTAAGAGCAGGGCCAAGCATGGATACAGATGTCTTTGCTCATCTTTTCCTGGAACAGGTATGCCACATGGAAGCACACCCTTTCCCTCTGGTGGAGGTTAGGGAGAGGGGAGAGAAGGAGACAGAGAGAGGTTAGTGGGCAAGGGAAGCTGACTAGAGACCTCAGCTTTGGCTAGACACTCAGAAACAAGCAACAAAGGCAACCTCCAGGTTATTCTGAGCTCTGTCTCCAATGACAGGAGCCAACACTCCTAATGAGCAGATGAAGGGGACAGCTGGGATCAGAACAGAGCCCCTCAGACTCATTCTCATGCTTAGGTCCCCTGTGGGGGCTTTCAAACTGTCATTCCCACTACTAGATCCTAGCCTTAGTCCTAACCCTAACACCAACCCTAGCCCAGCTCCTTTGGATCTTGTGGCTGAGATATCCTTGTTGCTGGACAATCCCACAGGTTTCGACCATAGTAGCCTCCTGAAATTTCTATGTTGTAAATTGTACACAGCAAACGATCTGACAAATGTTTTTCCTTCTCAGAATACTAAGTTATCTTAGAGTTGTGCATAACTTCATAGCCAGAGGCAGATGTGTACATCTACTTGTGTGCTACCATAGGTAACAAAGCATTTTCACATTTATATAGACACCAGTAAATACAGTCTGCAAAACCATGGCTGTCAAATCTGCATTAAACCCTTATATTACTGTTAGTCCAATCATCTCATAAAGAATAGGGCAAGATAGGATGAACACCTGTCAGATAAGGCCAACCTAGGAGTTTATGGCACTGACGAGGCAGGGGCACAGTGTGGTAATGCCTAGTCCTGTGAGATTCCGAGTCAGTAGTGCTCTAATTGTGATGGGGCATTTCCTCTATTGCCAGTTGTAATACCCAAATCCATTATTTGAATGCAGGGGTTCCAATCTTGGCTATGCTCTCAATTTCAGCTGCCTTCTAATGTGCATCCTGTGACATAGCAGGTAATGGCTCAAGTGCTTGGGTCCCTGCCATTTATATGGGAAATATGGATTGAATTCTAGCTCCAGCTGCTGTGAACAGTTGGGAAGTGAACCAGCAGATGGGGAAGCGCTCACATTTGCTTGCTTGTCTACTCTCTTTCCCCCTGCCCCATTCAAATATATTTAAATACTTTATAAAAAGCAAAGTGAAACTTTTTAACAATCACTTGACACTGAGTGACTCCTGAGCATATACTAGTGTGAGGTATTCCACAGGCAAGGAGTAAAACTAGTCATAAAGTCCCCAGAGAACCATTTCACTTGGCACTGCATAATCAGAGGAAGCTGTGGTTCCAACGCCAGCTCCTCCAGTTCCGCCCCAAATTTTATGACTTTGGAAAAGTTACCTCACTTCTGGACTTCTGTGTGTTCAGCATTAAAATAAGTTAAAAACGTAAGAGTCACACCAGCTCTAAAATACTCTAAAATTCAAAGAGAAAGGGGCTGGAACCAAAGGTGACAAGATGAATAATGATAGTATTTCTCCTATCACATTACAAGTGCAAGAACAGTACTCACACTTGGAAATACCAAGAAAGAAGCAGAAACATTAGCAACAACTTTTATACCAAAGATTTCCCATCTGCTGTTTCCAAAATCCAAAGTAAACAAAGTGGAAGGGTAGAAGTAAGGACAATGTCTTCACCATGTATCAGAGCTACGACTACACACAGCCCCCTGCCCTTCAAACTCACCTCCCACTCTAAGTGACACATACGTCCCAAAGAATTGCCAGGAAAAAGTGTCCCTGCTCCATTGAAAGGCCAGGCCTTCCTCATAGCCCTCAACACCAACTCTTCCTCCTCTTCAGCATCATGCGTATCTCCTTCTCTCCCATCTCAGGCCCTGAAAACCTGGTTAAGTTCAGGGACAGACACTAAACACTTGAGGCCCTGTGGGCCACAGGTCTGTCACAACTAGTCAAATCTGCTCTTTTAGCATCCAGTCACAGAAAACAAAAATGAGTATGGTTGTCCCAATAGAAATGCATTTACAGATATGCAGTACCTGGGCTTGACCCACAAACTGCATCTTATTCCTTTCCTAGGTCACTGCTGCAATTTGCTAACATGCTCTAAGATCCCTGTCTTAAAACAAGCACAAAAACTACACCCCACTGCTGATACCCTCTACCTCCCAAGCACTGCTTTCCTGAGACACTGTTTCCTGACTTCACTCCACCAATACACAGGCACCTCCAGACAGGCTCCATTCCCACCACTTGCCTGGCATATCTCCCAGTTACCAGTATCTCCCATATCTGTGAATACCTGTGCAAGATGATGGTTCCTCAAGGGCTGCTTGCACCCCATTGCTCTCCTATGACAAATTTTATGCGTACTTCTTTTCACTTCTTTGCTGATTCTTTCTCTTACACCTGCCTAGATGCAGCCTTTGTCTCATAGGCAACTATTCTTAAAATGTGTTCAGAAAGTACCATGGCATCAGATATCACCTCCAGGCAGACTGTCGTCAAATGCACAAATTGCCAAGGCTTCAACTGAGACGTCTCATCACCCATTGGCATCTCCATTCCTCAGGCCTCTACTTACCACTCTTCTCAGTAAAGGCTCCAAGGACTAACCAGTTTTCACAGATTCCTCTCTTCATCTTCTCAACAATCCTGGAGCAAGTCCTCTATCCCCACAGCCATATCTCTGTCCAAGGCAGGATCATCACCCACCTTGACAACCTCTCATTCAACCTGTTTACTTGACCCTGCCTCACCATCTGTCTTCCATCTAGCAGCCAATGAGTGACAAAACAGAAACAGAGGGTTTTGTGTTAGGGTGCAAGATGAGACAATCTTGCACACTAAGCTGCAGCTACAACAATAGCATCCTACATCAAAGTGCTGGCTCAAGTCCCAGCTGCTCCACTTCCAATCCAGCTTCCAGCTAATGGTACCTGGGAAGGCAGAAGACGACCCAAGGGCCTGGTGTGATGGCCCAGTGGCTAAATCCTTGTCTGGCACAACCAGGACCCCATATGGGTGTCGTGTTTCATGTCCCAGATGCTCTGCTTCCCATCCAGCTCCCTAATTAGGCCTGGGAAAACAGTAGAGGACGGACCAAAGCCTTAGGACCCTGCACCTGCGTGGGAAACCCAGAAGATGCTCCTCTTGCACACACTCCTGGCTTTGGATCGGCTCAGCTCTAGCTGTTGCAGCCACTTGGGGAGTGAATCAGTAGATGGAAGACCTCTCTCTATCTCCTTCTCTCCATATATCTGCCTTTCCAATATATTTAAACAAACAAACAAATCTTAAAAAAAAAAAAATAGACAACCCAAGTGCTTGGTCTCTTGACACTCAGATGGAATTCCTGGCTCCTGACTTCAGCCTGACCCAGTCCTGTTATGGTCATTTAGAGAATGAATCAGCAAATGGAAGAGCTTTTTCTCTGTCACTCCCTCTGTCCCTTTGCCTTTCAAATAAAAAGAAAAATTTCTGAAAGAACTAGAAAAGGTCAATCTTCTGTCAAAAGCCTTTCCCAATATTCTGAGTAAACTTTTCTGATGGGCTCTGACTGGCATGTGGCTCCACCATGTAATCCTTTTTCTTTGCACCCTGGTCTCCCACAGCCATTGTACTGCAGTCTTAGTGCTCCTGACTCAATGTATTCTTCAGGGACTCCAGTTGAGGACTTCTTTCTTTAGCTCTTTGCTCAAGCAGCACCCTCACCTCCCTAACACACTGACCCCAACCACAGCACTTCAACATCAGGAGTTCCTGTTGATGTTCATATGGCTGTCAGCTCAGTCGGCTCTCAGTGCAGAGGAGGGTCATGGGAGGGGCTCCTGTGCAGCACTCTTGCACACACAGGCAGCAGTATATTCATGCTAGTATGTCTGTTCCCTCACTAAGCTGGAGTTCTCATTCAGTGTCCTCTGCTGTACCCTGGGATGAGCCTCCACCCTTGCAGATGTGTGCCTACAGACCTGTACTGACCCTGTGGAAACAGAGCGCCTGACTGTGGGAGGTCATGGCAAGGAGCTGGTCCACACACCAGTGACACTCTTGGGGAAGAAGACAGCAGAAACACAGACTGCACTCATAACACTGCAACTGGTTTAATGGGTCTCTTTCAATATTTCCATAAGACATGTGCTCCTTGAGGGGACTCAGTATCAAGTAAACACCCTATTTTTAGTTCATTTCCAAAGTCATCAAACAAGTAACATTTTGCCCACCTTCCACTACCTTGAGACTGGAAGGAGAACAGTGAAGCACTGTGAGCCTGTGGGGGTGGACAGCGCAGCTGGCCGGCTTTTCCATTACCTGCCTCCTGCTCGACAACAGACCCTCTTTCCACTCCCTCAGAGGTTCCCATCTGTACCCAGGAGGTTACATCTCAACACCACAGCCTACTCACAGTGAATGTTCTTGCCACTCAAAGACAAACCCATATATCATTCTCATAGTATTAGACTTGAAACCCCTGTCCTATTGTTTTCTGTGTGACCACCCTGTTCCAGAAGTTCATTGTGCAGGTCTAACCAGGATCCAGGCTGAACCTCCCAGAGTCTGCAAGTGCAACAGAGCTAAAATTAACACTAGAGGGCCACCGTGTGGACAAGGAGTAGTAGGGCACTAAATATCTAGCCCAAGAGCTGCATCTCTGAATTTACAGGTATAGTTGCCCCACTGACTTGTTGATCTTGGGGAGTACAAGGCCTTACACATCCTACTCTCAGCCACAGGGCTGCAGAAATTCATCTGGCAACATCTCTCTGTATTTCATATATTTCCCCATTAACAAAACTTTGTACCAGATGTCCACATCTTGAGATCACCTTAAATACTCTGCTCCTGATACATGTCCTATTGGCTCCCAAGATTCTTCACTCACTACAACTGAAATGTTTAATTTTTAAAAATTTGGTCAGCATGTAGTCAAATATTATACTGTCATTGAAGTTTTTAAAGTTTAGGAGCTGGTGCCATGGCTCAACAGGTTGATCCTCTACCCTACGGTGCCAGGAACCTATATAGGTGCTAGTTCATGTTCTGCCTATTCCATTTCCTACCTAGTTCTCTGTTTATGATCTGGGAGGACAGCAGAGGATGGCCCTGGTTCTTAGTACTCTGTAATCATGTAAAAATTTGGAAAAAGCTCCTGGTTCCCAGTTTCAGCTCAGCTCAGTTCTAGCTACTGTGGCCATTTGAACCAGTAGATGAAAGATCTGTCTCTCCTTCTCTCTGTAAATCTATCTTTCCAATAAAAATAAACAAATATTTTAAAAATTAAAGTTTAAAAAGTACAAATGTTCACGTACTCTAGTTTCCACACATACATGAGGTTATGGTGGAAAGAGAAACTTATGTATATGTATGTTTGTGTGTGTGCTGGGAACTGGAACTCAAATTCAAATTCAGGTTCTCCCATTGTACTCTTCCAATTCTGTGACCACATGAACAGGAGACTTTTCTTTCTTTCTTTCTTTTTTTTTTTTTTTTTTTTTGACATATCTTAAGAAGTTTATTCCAGCGGGGCAGGAATAGGGGAAAGGGGAAAGGGGGAGGGAGGGAGCAAGGAAGGAGAGAGAGAGAGAGAGAGAGAGAGAGAGAGAGAGAGAGAGAGAGAGAACTGAGTGGGGCAGGAACAGGGAAGGGGAGGGAACGGGGGTAAGAAGGAGAGAGAGAGAGAAGAAGAGCAGGGGAGAGGAACCAAGGAGAGCAAGAGCAAGAGCAAGAGCAAGAGAGAGCAAGAGAGCAAGAGAGAACAAGAGAGCAAGAAAGAACAAGAGAGCAAGAAGACCAGGAGACTTTTCTAACGCAGCAGGCAAGCAAACAATTCCAGATACCAGCTGCGGGTTCTGGCGCTGTATACCTCGAGGTAACACTGGAACTCATTTGGCCACCAAGTCCCCCCAACCAGCCTGCTTCAGATGGCAGTGAAGACTCAGGAGATCTTCCCTGTGCTGTAACTCAGATTCGCAATACCCCTTCCTAAAGTGGGATTAATTTGTTTGAGCATATTACAGAATTTGAAGAAATACTGTTTACCATTGTATTACAAAGGATGTTACAGAGAAAACAGATGAAAAGACACACAAGGCGAGGTATGGGGAAAGTATGCACTACTTCCCAGGAACCTCAGATGTTCAGCTATCCAGAAATGCTGCAAATCCAGACCTTTCGGGTACTCGTGGAAGCTTCATCATGTGTGAATGATGAAGTCACTAGCCATCAGTGATGCACTCTCCTCTTTTCAGAGATTGGGAATGGGGATGGAAATCCCAACCCTCCAATCCAGCCTGGGACTTTCTTGGTGACCAACCCATCCTAAAGTTACCAGAGGGCTACAGAGTCAGCAGCCAACTCATTGGCATACAAAAAGACTCCAACAATTTGGGAATTTTGTGTCAGGAAGTGTGGGGAGGGACCAAAAACAAATATATATTTTATGATAGACTGCATGCACATGCAAGAAGGGATGGATTGTGTGCATTTGTGTATGGGAAGGGGTGGAAGAACTGGAGAAAGGGAGTGATGTGGAGAATGAATGAATGCACAGCCTGGAAAAAAACAGACTTTGTAAAAGTCATCTGTGCATTTTCTACCATGACTTAGCTTGTGACCACAATAGTCCAATATTGGCTAGGAAGGAAGCACAACTCACAATACCAAAAAGCATCTCTCCTCAACCTTTTCCTACTCCCTTTCTCACTATTCCCACTCACCACCTGGATCTCAGACTTCCCAGAAACCACCTTGCTCCACATACTCCCTTCTCTGACCCTTCCTGTGCAACATGACAGGTCTTGATATAGTCCCTGCTCCCACACAGATCAGAGCCACAGCATCTCTCTGGGACCTCCTTTATCTTAGCTTGCGAGAATAAGTAAAATGACATTCCAATGGCTTAATTCAGGAGAGGTAAATTGCTCCTTCCACCTCCTCAGGGAGTCTCCTTTTGGTCAGGAATGAGACAGACTTGGCTATACATCTTAGAGGCACAATCGGACATCCTAGACCATCCATGCACATCTCCAAATGGATTCAGAGGTCTTTGCGCATTTAGCCTGTCAGGGAGATCAGAGGAGTTTGCATTGCATTTCCTCATCCATCATCATGTGACAGCCTAGGACCTGCTGCCCAAAGTCCACTGAAGGAACATAATTTGCAAAGAGGCAGCCAAAAATTATATTTTCTTCTCTTCTAATTCATGTGGTTAAGTTTGATTTGGCAGGATTTATTACTAAAACATGCAGGGCCAGTCTCAAATTCCAACCTTCACACTTCATGTATTGCATTCACCTTCTAGCATTCTAGATTCGCTATCTCATCCACACCCACAATTCTCCATCTTTTCCCCATCCCGACTCCTCCTCTACTCCATCCTTAGTGCACCACCTTCCATATTACCATGGATACCATTTTTACTCTGCACTCAATCATGTCCACAGATATGACTGTTGATCCAATCTCACCATCTCCATGGGCCCATCATACCTTCATACTCGTCTAGTTCATACACATTACCATCATTCAACACTTCAGTATCACACAGCTCAGAGTCGTTCCCCCCCCCGCCCCCCGCAATCACACAACTCTACAGGCGTCACCGTCCCCTCCTCATCCCACCATCTTCACAGACGTCACCGTTCACCTATATCCCACCCTCTCTCCACATTTTCTGGGGACATCACGTCTCTCCACAGCCCACCCTAACCCTCCGGGGCTTGGGGAAGAGCAGAGCTGGGCCAAGGCTGGGAGGAGCACTGAGCACAGGCCTGTCGCTGGCCGCACTCACCTGCGGCGCTAGGGGTGGCGCGCAACCAGGGAGTCCGGGAAAGAAGCCAGACTCTGGACCCTGCCCGGAACGGGACAGGAAGCATGATGCGCGCATGCTCGCAGCCTGGTGCGCGCGGCTCCAGGTCCGGCAGGAAGGGGGCGCGCTCGAACTCTAGGTTCCGAGGCGGAGCCTTGTCTTTTTAGCTCTGGCCGGCGCACCACCAGAGCGGTTTCGGCGAGTTCCTGCGTCTCCGCGGCCGGCTGGAGTTTGGAGTCGGGCTCTGCACCCCAGCACCCACAGGCTCCGACCATGGACCGGGAGACGCGCGTCCACGCCGAACGCCACTTCCGAGGCCTCCGAGACGGCGTCCCGGGCGGCGGCGGGACCCCGGGCCGTGTCGCCTTCATCCAGGCGCCCGAAACCTTCTCCTACGCCGACTTCTTCAGGGGCTTCCTGCTGCCCAACCTGCCCTGCGTGTTCTCCCGGGCCTTCACCGAGGCCTGGGGCAGCCGGCGACGCTGGGTGACGCCCGCGGGCAAGCCCGACTTGGACCACCTGCTCCGGAAGTACGGTGAGGGCCAGGTCCGCGGTGCCGGGACGCTGGAGCAGGAACAGGGACCAAGGGGGTCCACCGTTTGCGGAGGTGTCGCGGGTGAGCGAGTCCCGGGAGGGCGCCCCGCATAGCAGTCTTCCTGATCTGCTGTTGCAGGAGATGCTCTCGTTCCCGTGGCAAATTGCGGGGTCCGAGAATACAACTCAAACCCCAAGGAGTATATGGTCCTGCGAGACTACATCAGCTACTGGAAGGACTACATCCAAAGAGGCTACTCTTCTCCAAGGGGCTGTCTCTACCTCAAGGACTGGCATCTGTGCAGGTAAAGGGGCTCACAGCGCTGACCACCTCACTGCACTCACCGAAGCCTTTCTGATGGAGGCGAAGGCTGGCTATCTTCTGAGTTGTCTCCTCTTTCGCTGGAACAGTCAGCTCCTCCCGGTTCACTTGGCCTGGTGCTGACACCATGGGGAACGTGGGTGTGCATGGCATGGTGACTGTACTTACTCCCTTCCTCCTGGTCACCTTTGCCTGGGGTGTCCCCATCTCACCTGATCTTCTCCATCCCTCCCTCTCAGGTGCCCCTGGGCCCACCCCCACCGACTCCTAAGCCCAGGCCTGTGCCTGTCACCTTGCCAGCACCAAGGCGCCTGCATCCTCCTGCCCCCCCGACCCCTAGACTAGCTCTCATTCCCAATCTGGGGAGCCCCTCTGCACCTCCCTGGGATGTCCCAGCTGCATGGGCGTTTTGGGAGCAGGTACCATCAGAGTCTCATCCCTAGCAGTGAGTGAGTAGATGTGGGCACTCATGGGGGCACACTGAGGGTGAGCACAGGCCCCTGCCATTGCCCCAACCCACCTGCCAACTTACCTCCACCACCCTGTGAGTTGTAGGGAAGCCATGAGTGGCTTTTATGGCTTCAGTGTATACCAAATGTTGCATGGGACACACTTATATTAGAAAACTGTTGGTTATTGTAAACTTAATGTTTGACAGAATGTTTTGTATTTTATCTAGCAACCATGAGAAATAAAAAGATCAGAAGAAGGCATGGGGGCAGAGGACATAATATCTGAGCATGGCTTTTGTGGATGTGTAGGAGTCTGTCAGGGAAACTAAGGAATGCCAGGCGGAAGGACTGGCACGGTCTTGGGGGAGCTGTACATGGTTGCTGCTACTGGGGCTATGATCCATCATCGTCTCTGGACTTTAAACAAATCCAGGAGCCCTGTACTATGTGGCATTGGTACCTTTTCCTTACCTGGGGCAAGTGTAATATAATCCTGTAATGTGCCCATTAGTGGACTTTAGGAGTGAATTCACAGGGAATGAAGAGTTGAGAGGGTATAGGGGTGGTGACTCCCAGTCCTGGGCCTGTGGCCTAGCATGTATTTGGCAGTTGAGTTGTCTGGCATTTGGGGGAGTAGCTAGCAGAAGAGGCCCCGCACTTAGGAACCAGACTCCTAGGCTGCTGCAGCCAGAAGCCAGAATCCCAGGACTAGTTCACAGGGACCTGCTGCGCATGGTTCTGGCTGTGCCCTCACAGTACACTCCAAGGCATGTTTCTTGGTTAGAATTCTGGAATCTGCAGTTGGGGTGGGGTTCAGCTTGAGTCTGTCAGGGGCTTGTGACTGTTGGGCAGCTCCAGCAGGCCTGGGTGGGATAACATGGCCCTGCTTATACGTGGTGGAGTCAGCAGAGTGTCACCATGTGGTCCGTATGTGTTTTATCGAGATCCTGGTTGAGGGTGGGCCTGTGGACCAACATACACGAAGTAGGCTCTCACTGCAGCCCTGTGCCTCCCCCTTAGGGACTCCTCAGCAGAAGACGTGTTCATCCTGCCTGTGTACTTCTCCTCTGACTGGCTGAATGAGTTCTGGGATGCCCTGGATGTTGATGACTACCGTTTTGTCTACGCGGGGCCAACAGGCACCTGGTAATGCCATAGGTGAACCACCGGCACTGCTCCTGTGGTGAGCTGGGAGGTGTGACCACCCATCTGGCTCACAGGCCAAGGCCATCACAGTTGGAGGCAATCATTCTGCACGGGGAGGCCTTTGCGGAATGGGAGTGCTCTACTTCAAGGGCTGGTATTTGACACACCTGGTAAAGCTGCCACCTATAATATCATCTTACTTGGGTGCCGGTTCAAATCCAGCTACTCCACTTCTAATCCAGCTCCCTACTGGGAAAGCAGCAGAGGATTGCCTGAGGCCTTTGATCCCTGCACATATGAAGAAGCTCCTGTGTTTCTCTTACTAACTGCTTTTCAAACAAATCTTAAAATAAAATTTTGAAAAAGAAGAAACAAGGCCCAAGCTGGGTATGTTTGCCACAGGTCACCGTTCCATGCAGACATCTTCTGCTCCTTCAGCTGGTCTGTCAACATCTGTGGGAGGAAGAAGTGGCTGCTCTTCCCACCAGGACAAGAGGAGGCTCTGCGGGACTGCCATGGTGGCCTACCTTACGATGTCACCTCTATGCTCCAGCACTGCAGTCCGCCCCTTGAGATCATCCAGGAGGCTGGAGAGATGGTGTTTGTGCCCAGCGGGTGGCACCACCAGGTGCACAACCTGGTAAGGTGGCTACACCCTGCCCTGTCTTACCCACAACCTGCCTGCTTTGCCTGACCACAGTCCCTGTCACCTCTCTGGATGGCTCCCTATAGAGCCAGAAGATGGGGCAGGGTGCCATAAACAATGCAGAGGCCCCAGCCCCTGAGTCCCACTCCTGCCCTGGGCTCATCTGGGTGGCTGTGGACCGAGCTGATTCAGCTCCTTGGTATATTCCATTGGACCAAACGTCCCCTCCTTCCAGCTGGGCCTGGCACCCGGGACTCCTGTAGCAGGCTCATGGTCACTGCCTTTCCTCTCCAGGACGACACCATCTCCATCAACCACAACTGGGTCAACGGCTGCAACCTGGCCTCCATGTGGCACTTTCTGCAACGGGAGCTCTGTGCTGTGCAACAGGAGATCAGTGAGTGGAGGGACTCCATGCCAGAATGGCACCACCACTGCCAGGTAAGGCTTGCTGGGCTGGACTGGGAGTACAGGTGGGATCCGTGTCAGGGCTGAAGTTTGCTTGGCCATATGGGGGATGCAGGAGGGGTTTTGTGGCTAATGTTTGCCAGCGGCTGAGCTGGAAATGTGGGAGGGGTATAAGGTAGTAGCCCACCATTCTGGGGAGGATGTGACTGTAAGGCCCAGGAGGCAGGCAGTCATCAGCTGTGTGTGAGGGGTTAATCCAGGGCCAGCTGAGTGTCAGGGCCAGCTGCCTGTCCTCAAGAGACTCGTAGGCTCTGTGGCTTGGACTCATTGTGTTGCTACTTTACCTCTCAGTGCCTCTGCTCACTGGGGCTGCACTAGGATCCTGTGCTGTCTTTAGCAGTGACCACATGGCTGACTGGCCTGTCATTCTGGTTCAGGTCATCATGAAGTCCTGCTCAGGGATCAACTTTGAAGAGTTTTACCACTTCCTCAAGGTCATTGCTGAAAGGAGGCTCCTTGTTCTGAAGCAGGGGGCAGAAAGAGCATCAGAACATGACCCGGACACAGGGCTTGGCCTACAGCAAGCTGCATTTGACATCAGCCGCCTTACAGAGGTGCTAGCCTCTGTCATCGCACACCCTGACTTCCAGAGGGTGGACACTGGTGCATTTTCACCACAGCCCCTGGAGCTGCTGCGACAGCTGGAGGAGGCCATGGCCGCCGTTGCAGAACTTTAGCATTCCTGGAGGATGACCGCCAGTGTGCAACCTCCCTGCCCAAGACTCCCCACCCACCCTCATGGCCTGGAAAATGCCCCTGTGGAGCAAGAAGAGCTCTTCTCTGGAAACCTGACATGGTCCTGCCTGCCCAGGGCTATTTTATGATAGTCCTAGGCATGGGTCCTCAGTGAGCACTGAGTCCTACTTGCTGTGATGGTGCCTGGGATTGGGGATGTTGGATCATGCAAGCCTGCTGGCAGTCAGTGGACAGCTATGTGACTGTGTTTCTGAAGAGTCTCCTGACTCTTGGTGAAGGTGAGGACTCCTGAGTGACAGATGTCCAGCCTGGCCTGTCACCCGACATAGGTGCATTACAGCTACCCTCCGTCCTGACCTCAGCTCCTGTTGGGCTTGGTGCCATGCGTACCCAAGCTAGTGTGTGAAGCTGGACATTGTGCTCCTGTAGTTAACAGGTGGCAAGGTCACCATTGTGCCAGGGAGTGTGGGTGTTCAACCTCTGAGCAGATCTAGCACCTGCTTGGTAGTGACTGAGCGTGGCAGTTGCAACAGGAGGATGGGAGCAGAGCAGGAATGATAGATGCCAGATGCTTGGTCAGTTTTCCAGGTGCCCACGTTAGCAACTGTACCCTCGGTGCTTCATGGTTATGAGGAAGACGCAAGCAAGTACACAAGCCGTGCCTGGTCTGTGGGGTCAGGTGCTCCTCAGGGTTTCAGGTGGGATGGTAGATGGCCACAGGGCAGCACCAGGGGCTATTCAGGGGCCAGCTGAACTCCTATGTCCCTCAGTGACTGGGACACTGGTGGTCTAGCAAAGTTCAAGGCAGCAAAGTAAAATATTAACACTGTCAAGTCATTGAGTAGTGTTAGCAGTTGTTTCAGAGCCTGTATCAGCAGTATTACCTGTTGAGTCTACACCAGTAGTTCCAAGGTGGTCACAGGTGCCAAGTGGTGTCCCCTGAGAAGCTGAGCTTGTAGGTTGTTGGGGACTTGGTCCCTTCCTCATGTGGAGACATCTCACATGACTGTATGGCCCTGAGCTCCCAACCAGCAGTTCTCCCTGGGCTAGGCTGGAGGAGTAGCCATGCGGGCATGTCAGGGACCCTCCCAGCACGGGAATTTTGCTGTGAGGAGCCAGTTTCCCCAGGATTAAGGCAGCTGTTTGTCTTGTTGAAAACCACATTCTTGGGCCCGGCGCGGTGGCGCAAGTGGTTAAAGGTCCTCACCTTGCCCGCCCGGGATCCCATATGGGCGCCGGTTCTAATCCCGGCAGCCCCGCTTCCCTTCCAGCTCCCTGCCTGTGGCCTGGGAAAGCAGCAGAGGACGGCCCAAAGCTTTGGGACCCTGCACCCGCGTGGGAGACCCGGAAGAGGCTCCTGGCTTCGGATCGGCATAGTATCGGCTCGTTGCGCTCACTTGGGGAGTGAATCATCGGACGGAAGATCTTCCTCTCTGTCTCTCCTCTCTGTATATCCGCCTTTCCAATGAAAAAATAATAAAAATAAATCTTTTAAAAAAAAAAAAAAAAGAAAACCACATTCTTTCAACTCCATGCACCCTGATGCAATCACTGTCCTGTTATAGGTCCATTCTCTAGGCATAAAAACTACCCAGTTGACCCACACTGTCCTGTTTGGTCAGGACCAGACTTCCTGGGGCATCACAACCCTTCAGTGCAGAAGTGCTTTGCCTGCTGCAGCCTGGCCTCAATATGTTTTTTTATTTAAAGATTTATTTTTGGGCCCAGTGTGGTAGCCTAGAGGCTAAAGTCCTCACCTTGCATGTGCCAGGATCTCATATGGACACCGGTTCTAATCCCGGCGACCCTGTTTCCCATCCAGCTCCCTGTTTGTGGCCTGGGAAAGCAGTCAAGGACAGCCCAAAGCCTTGGGACCCTGCTCCTGCGTGGGAGACCCTGAAGAAGCTCCGGGCTCCTGGCTTCAGATTGGTGCAGTACCAGTTGTTGTGGCCAGTTGGGGAGTGAGTCATTGAACAGAAGATCTTCCTCTCTGTCTCTCCTCCTGTCTATATATCTACTTTGCAATAAAAATAAAATAAATTTTTTTTAAAAATTATTTTTTTTGGAAAGACAGAGTTACAGAGAAGAAAAACAGATCTTCAGTTCACTGGTTCACTCCCCAAGTGGCCACAACAGCTGGAGCTGGGCTGGTCAGAAGCCAGGAGCTTCCTCCCGGTCTCCCATGTGAGTGCAGAGTCCCAAGGACTTGAACCATCTTCTGCTGCTTTCCCAGGCCATAAGCAGGGAATTGGATCAGAAATGGATCAAACTTGGGCCTATCTGGGATGCCAGTGCTTCAGCAGAAGCTTAGGGTACTGAGTCAAGGTGCTAGCCCTAAGCTGCCCTGAGTATTATAGTGAGTCGGTGAGGAGAAATGCCTTGCAGAAGCCTGTCTACCTTGGATCTCCCTGGGTATGGGACAATACTGAACCAGAGCATTCCATTACAGGCAAGCCAGAGTCAGTGGATCCTGATCTGAGCAAAAACCGCTAGCATTGAGATAGGGACATGTGTAGATCTGGGCTGACAAGATTCCTACCCAAGACTGGTTCCACTTCCAGGAGCAGCTGCAACTTGCTGGGTATGAGTGAGGTGCAAGGCAGGCAGTCTGCAGGCAGAGATCTCAGAAGAGTCTCAGCGCAAACACAGCAAGTGATGTTAGCCATGACATACATGCACCTTGAATGGCAATACAGGCTGAGGTGTGTGCCCTCAGCACTCTGGAACGTGACCTTGGGTCCCAGTTCTCTCCACCGTCTCCTCGCAACTTCAGGCCATCGGTGTGAGTGGAGAGATCCTGGGGTGTTTTGGTCTAGGGACAGCCACATGAGGAGGCAGCCATCTGCCAGCACCTTGATCCGAGTCTCCAGCGTCTAGAACTGGAAGAAGCCCTAGAAAACTAGATGCACTAACCAGCCCTAAATCCACAGCAGTGTGGCAGACTCTCACTGTGTGTACAGTGTCTGCCTGAGCTGGAGGTGGTACATTCACAACTCTGTCATGGTTAATGCTTAGTTAAACTGCCTCCCAATTCATGGTGAAGACTTCACAGCACCTCAGATTGTGGTGTTACTCTGCAAATTTGCACTCAGCCGGACACTTCATGCAGGTGGGAGCCAGGCGACAGGGGCAGTGGTGGACACTGCAGTTGCAGCTCCTTGTGCTACCTCTTATCCTGAGGACAAGTCTGCCAGTCGCCCCTGTTGTCTCTACTGCTTCCCAAATGCAAGTCTCCAAATAGCAAACTAAGTATGGATTTAGTGGGAAATAATGAGGCACAATGGGTTAAGCCACAGCATTTGGGGGAGTGAACCAGTAGTTGGAAGAGATAGTATATTTCCCCTGTCACTGTGTTTATTCAACTTAGTAAATATCGTGCTCTGGCAGCACATATACAAATAAGTAAATATTCAACATTAATGGTTATATGTATTTTATGGAATAGCTAATGAGAACAAAGCCACAATAGCTGTATTTATTGCAGAGTTGTTTTTAAGGCAAATACACGTGCATGCACACACACATTTTTGGAGATACAGGAAAGTTTCCAGCAGGGAAACTTCTGAGTGTATGTGCACCTTATCATTCAGCTTTAGCATTTATTAAAGTAAAATTGATCAAAGGAGCAGACAAACTGTCACAGTGGGAGACCCTTTAGTTAAGTCATGAATTATTTGAGAATTTGTTTCAAATTGTGCCTCCCACAAATAACTTCCAAATCAGCCTGGTTGCCAGGCTGACTTGACTCACAGGGCTCTACCACCTGATGTCCTCTGGAAGCCAGAGTGAGAGACACCAGTTTTTGTGAAAGGAGTTTGCTATTTTCATGCTTCATCTCAACTGCCACTCCTCTGGCTCAGGGAAGGGATGCACACAGGTAGACAAATGCAAGCTGGGAGGGTGGCTGAGGCTTCAGGTGTGTCTGTATCCTTGCTGTGTATATGTGGATTTTAAAGCCCGTTTATTTTTGATTTGTGAGACAGCAACAGAGCCCCCGTGCACTGCTTCACTGTGCAGATGCATTGACAGCTGGCGCTGAAGCCAGAAGCCTGGAGCTCAGTCCAGATCTCCCACATGGTTGGCAAGAGCTCAGTGACCTGAACTGTCACCTGCTGCTTCCATGGTCTGCATCAGAAGGGTGGTGGACTTATGAGCTGGCATCAGGACCTGAACTCGGGTATTCTGGTATAGGATGCACATCTTAGCTGCCAGACTAAATGCTCATTACCTCCTACAAAGTTTATTAAAAGTTTATTTATTGTTTGAAAGGTAAAGAAAAAGATCTCCCATCCCCTGGTTCATTCACCAAACACACAACAGCTGGGGCTATACCAGGCTAAACCAAGATGCTGGGAACTCATTCTAAGTCCCACATAATTGACAGGAAGCTAAATACGTCAACCATGGCTTGCTATTTATTTCTTGGGATGGACATAAGCAGATGAACTTGGAGTCTGAGCCGGGCTGCAGTCCCAGGCACTTCAATAAGGGAAACAAGTTAACCATCAGGTAAATATCTGCCCCTCCCCACACTTTATGAAATACCCACATCGAATGCATGTTGCGTGTTTGTGATGATAATGTAGGTCATTTTTATTGTAAGTATTAAGTGTTTATTCATGCAGCCAAAAAATATTGAAGCAAGACATGTAAAAAAGGTGTGCTATTTTAACACATTCATAGTGGAATGAACAAATAGGAACCTAACTGCATGAACCCATGGATCTCCCAAGCAACCTCAGCATCCAGTCCCAGAACCATTGGTTGTAGCCACTGTGGCAATCCTGCAGGTTACGGAGTAACAAACAGCTTCATCGCCCAGCCACTCATGGGACACTCTGGGACACAGAATCTTAGCCACTCGTGGGACACCCTGGGACATCTGCATCCTACAGTTGCGGCCTCATCCCAGCAGGGCCTCTTGGGAATAGCACAGAGCAGGTAGATCTGCCTGGCACCACGCTTATGGTTGCTTCCCCTCTCTCCCTCAGCTGTCCCCACAGTCCTTCCCAGTGGTCTCTCACTGCATTAGTGGGGCCCCTTACTTGGGGCAAGCAGGAGTGGGGAAGGGGCTGCTGTGATTCTCTTCAAGTCCCCACATCTTCTGCAGCTGATGATCCTGGCTCTTTGTGGCTTTCCAACCTGCTCCCCTCTCTCCTCTTCGAGGTCCTCACAGGCCTTGGACTATGTCCATGGGTCATCAGCTGGCCACATGTATCTGAGACCAAACTTCCTTCTGCCAGGTCCCTGCCATAGCTCTGACTTCCGCTCATGTTTCAGCAGACTTGTCCATGTGCTCTGTCTCTGTTGACCCTGTTCTCTCTTGCAATCTGGAAACCTGGGATGGCCATTGGAAGTGGTGCAGCCTTGTGGGACTGAGCTGGGATCCTGTGCTGTCCCCAGGTAGATGGTGGCATGATTGTTTTCAATTGTTGGAGACATGCTTTCTGTGGGAGAATCCCACACACTGGTCGCACAGGTTCTGGGTTGAGTACGGCTGTAATAGTAGGGGAAAACAGTTGGCTTCTTCCTAACCTGGTATGTTCAGATGTTAGTTCTGAGGTAAAGTCAATGTATCTGGTTTTGTAGTGTTTTTGTGCTTTTGGTGTCAGATCTAATGAGCATATGCTCAATGCAAGGGCATGGAGATTTATTTCTGTTTTCATTTAGAGTTTGTAGTTTCACCTCTTACTCTTTTTTTTTTTAAAGATTTATTTTATTTTTATTGGAAAGGCGGATATACAGAGAGGAGAGACAGAGAGGAAGATCTTCTGTCCGATGATTCACTCCCCAAGTGAGCGCAACGGCCAATGCTATGCCGATCCGAAGCCAGGAGCCTCTTCCAGGTCTCCCACACGGGTGCAGGGTCCCAAAGCCTTGGGCCGTCCTCAACTGCTTTCCCGGGCCACAGGCAGGGAGCTGGATGGGAAGTGGGGCCGCCGGGATTAGAACCGGCGCCCATATGGGATCCCGGGCGTGCAAGGTGAGGACCTTAACCACTGCACCACCGCACTGGGCCCTCACCTCTTACTCTTTGTCTTTTGATCCATTT